TTTGGTACAACTTTTTACTACATGTTTCGGTTACATTGAACCATCTTCAGGTGTAAAGTTAAAAGTTAAAAATTATAATCTTATAAACTAAAACTTAATTACTGTTGTTGTGTAAATGATATTTTAATATCTTATGTATAATTTTATTTATATACAATTGTGATTAGACGGAAAAAACACGAATAATTAGAAACTACGTCCTTAGAAATCGTCATTTTAACCTGTATTACAGAACATCTTTATATAACTTAAGGAAACTGATACTAGTTAGAAATACTTTCATGTACACAACACGTTAGCCTTTACAATATATTGAGCTAAATGTTTCGACATAGATGCGTCATATCAAGGTCCAATTGTATTAGTCTACTAAAAGTAAAATGCAGTTATACAGTAACATTCCAGAACTCTCTCTCTCTCTCTCTCTCTCTATATATATATATATATATATATACACATGTTTTGTTTCATAATATTCGCAGCTTTGTTAACTTTAAAATTACAATACCTTTAATTCGGGACCTAATCGTAACTGACCTTGTACAACGTCAATCCCCTATCTATAATCTCTCGGAGAGACTCAATTTCACACCCCTACAAAACAAACGCCATCTAACATGATAATATGGAATCAAACGTAGTAGATCGAACACGACAGCCACTTCGCCACTGCTAAGTTATAAAGCATTGCATGAAGGAAGGCAGGGCTGCCATGGAATATTAGTCTATTCCGGAGTTTATGAGGTGGTTGTCAACCTTTGTAATCCATCAGAGGGATTTGTTGATAAGACGTGAGTAAGGGCTCAGCCATCTTTCTGAGCTTTTCACGTTAGGATCAGACAAACGTACAGTACTTACGTCTTGCCCTCTGTATCGGTAAATATCGACCCAGGGTATCCAGGAAGACAAATTCACCTGAACACATTTAGTCACTAGACAAGTACGGTCTGATAATAAGCTCTTTAAGACAGCCAGATGTCAACATAAAATTCCCGGTAATGATAGTGTCACTTCACGTACCTACACGTATATGTGTGTATAATATTAAAATGTATGTCAGAGAAATAGTGTGTCAGAGGGCGGATTAAATTCATCTGCCTCCGTATGAGGTTTAATGACAGGATCTTGTAAACAAGGTGATGAACTGTCAAATTATACAGATAAATGCCGGGAGATGTTTTCGAACATGTGACAAACTGGCATCGTGTCTATGCGCCATTGTACCATCTGTCTCAGCGGAGAATTGACTCCACTTTTAAACAGAAGTGTCCATCGGCGTAGTCGGACAGCTGTTCTGATGCCCGGTAAAGTCAGTTCTCCATTAGCTTTCTAGTGCTTCGTCTCACTCTTGTATTTTTCGTAATTCACAGTTAAATAAAATTTAGTACTTTATTCGGGTCACTGGTAGCAGATCCATGTTGTCAAATATAAGCTCCAACAGTCGAAACATTTGTAGCAAGGGGTAGGCAATGTTATTAGGACAAGATTCCGAATGACGTCATGGCTCAGACAGGGTGGTCCAACATTCTTTCCGTCGGACCCAAAAGTCAAGAAACAGCTTGTGGTACATTTTCTTAAAACTGATAGGAATTTTACTTATCTCTAAGAAACCTTATTCAGAAATGACAAATTACGATAACATTTGTTTAAAAACAAATGTCATTAAAATATTGACAAATCGCTATACAGATGCAGATTACTTTAAATTTTGTCGTCAAGAATTTTTATCCGACATAATTTTCCACAAAAGACATTTCACGGTTAAGATTTGAAAGCGTAGCACTTGACGTAAAGCAGAAGACGAGACAAAATCCACGATTTTTATCAGATATTTCGTAATAAAGAAAAAAATTAACTTATATCTAGTAAGTAATTAAAAAATAATTTCGCGAAATGGGTAATAAGTGGGCCGGAAGTGGCTCTCGGTCCAACATTTGCACACGATCAACTACGTAGTCAGTCAGTAACAAAATCAGCCAGGAGTTTAGGTTGCCGATAACGACCTTGGACCACAGCAAATATTTACGGGTTTAAATTCCTATAGAATCATCTTTGTAAAATGTCTTCTTCCGTTGTCACGTGATTTTGTAGACTGTCATTTATTATTATTTATTTAGTGTTCTGTCTGACGACAGGTCCATATGAACAGGATCCTTCCATCCTTTTCTCTTCTCGGACTGGGACCTGTTCATATACGTTCTTGGCAGATGATCCAGAAGTGGTTTGCCATTGCCTTCTTCTGTGTGTGAATGGAGTAATTGTTGGGATGCCACGGAGGAAAACTCCGTGTTGCCTAGACCACGGCCTTGCCCAACACAAGTTATAAATTCGGGCACCGCCGGGAATCGAACCCGATACCCTCAGGATTACAAGGCCAGCGTTCTAACCGCTAGACCACCGTGGCTCTCAGACTGTCATAAGGTAGGGTAAATAGGACGCCGACACCCATAGAACCTATAGAACCCATAGAACTGTGGCGAGGAACAGATTAATGAACGCCGAGTTCTTTTAACTGATTCAAAATTTGCATATCGTCATCTGTGAGAGAGATCGCTGCATTTTAAACATCTACATAATGCAGTAGCTCAAGCCGAACGCGTCCGACCTTTCACTTGTTTCAGGTAAGAAATGCAGTGACCTGTAACAACTTTTCATTTTTATTCAACGGCTCTCTGAATTGTTTCGAGGGGGAATTAATTTTCTATGTGAGTAAAAATGTTTCCTATTACCATAATTAATGAGACGTACCAAAAAGCATTCGCTTGTGTTAATTTTCATTAAAAACAGTCAAAAACTTTTCACTTTGAGTCTTATTTGTAACCAGCATTCATAATCTAGACATGATTGTATTTACAATAAGTAAGTTTCGGATTTTCCTTTTCTTGAAATTTTTATCACGTAATTCTTTTAGCAAGGTAAACACTGAGTGATGAGATTTAAATAATGAAACGGGTAGAAACTTCCTAAATGAAAGAACTGTCTCGTAAACAAGTGTTTGGTGCAAATTTATGTTTTTCTTAAAGGTATTCATACACAATTAAAAAATAATTTCTGAACTACTTTTATAAATCAAAACATCATCCACTTCTAAATCCGCAATTGTAACGCAAAGTTAAATTTTCTCGAGACCGGATGATCCCAGGATCTCGTTTCGGACGTGGTTACGGAGATAAAAATCACTCCCTCTACCAGGATCCAAATCTTAGTCAACCAGCTCGCAAGCCGGTCACTTCAACAAATATAAGATCGTAATAAATAGTAAACGGAGAAAAAATGTCATTAAATTGCCGAAGACTGAGACCGAAGCCACGGTCTTCCTGTTAGATAGACGATTACAATGGTCAGGATTAAGTTCATACAGTTTATTTTCCCATCTCCTATCCAAGATTAAAATAGCAAACATGGAACCATTAAGTCATTTGTTGCTTTGTAAGGATACGAAACTTGGTCTCTGTCTTACAATGATTAATTTTTAGTTCTGTGTTTATTCTCGCCGAAAGGATATATTTTGTATCATCAAAGCTACCGCGGCGTGTAAAACTGAAATCTCCCATAACTAAGAAATGAACGTATTTAGCTAGAGGCAGAAAGTAGTAATTCTAAGATTCTCCGCTCGAGGCCACCACTGTATGGACCTGTCGGAGAGACGTGTTGCTGTTGGTCGAAGGGATACCAGCAAAGCACAGTTGCTCTTATTGTACGTAGTCCATAATTTGTCGACTGATACTGTATTGAGGAGGTAAGATTGAGAAATAACAACTGGTTTTCTGTCTTTTATATAATTTCCTAACTAAGCAGTTATGGGCAGATTCATTGATAAAGTTGAACGAAACAGTAATTTTCCTAGTCCCGGCTGTGACTGTATGACTCACCGTCATATACCTGCCTACAAATTACATGCGAATCACATGTGGAGAAGGTTTATTAAAATTTACGAGATAATGATAAGGTGAATCTTATGGGGCGCATTTTACAAAGACAGAAAGTGGACCATTTGAAGCAATAAATCGCAAAAAGTTATTTTTGTCACTTATATCTAGTACTTCGCGTACCCCGGGGGTACGCGAAGACATCTTAGGGGGTACGTGAAATTTAAAAGATTCATATATTATTTTATGATAAACACTGAATAATCAGTAATGTAATTTATTTAATTTATTTTAGATGTAGATTATATACTATGTATAACTTGATTTATACACCAACAACTTTGGGGATACAAAGTTGAAGAGAAGTTATATCTGGGGGTACGCGAACAAAAAAGATTGAATACCACTGATCTATATAACATACTGCATATTGTTACACCCCTGTGCACAAAACGTAAAACACAACATGACGTCACAACTAAGAAGACCGCGTTGTCATGTTTATCGCCGTCAGAACCTAACAGCTTCAGATGGCAATGTAAACACCTAAAATATTAAAACACGAACATACATAACGGATAATGTGAGTCCGAAACTTACTCCTTCATTGAAAAACCCGGATGGTTTTATACTTTGTCACAGTTATTTGTCTTTATCACGCGTTTGGTAGAAAACGGAGCTAATTATGTGGTCACCAGGCTAAAGTTTGGACAATCCTGATTTTTGATATCATAACTAACACAAGATAAAGTAAGAGAATACTGTAATTAAACCATCTTACCTTCCATATTCTGCTTCAGTGCCTTTGTATGGGGTAACGTCATATAGCTCCACTTTATAGTTAAACACACACACACGGAAATCTGTTTCCATTTTACAATCACAGCACATTTTAAAACACTCCCGAAAACAAAATAATACACCACACACGTTCTTATACACAACAGATATAGTACGTAAGATTTACTTCATTCTAAGCTCTTTACCTGATGCAAAAACATGTCTAATTATAAATCAAACGACAAAATGGCCGCGATTTCACTCTAACCGAACAACAAGCATTGCGGACTGCACACAGTCAATTATTTATAGCAGTGAATGATGGGTAATCGTGGAAGACAGGTGGCGGAGGGAGGAGGTTAGACTGTCACACGACTCTGATACAGCCAGCTAATCACTACACCCCATCTGTTAGGAAAAAAGAGAATTAGCGACAAGTATTTTTCCATAGAGTTAGATTGACCTTCGGAAGGAAACAGTGAATCATCAGACATTTTAATGCGAGTTTACTGTTTCATTGCAAAGCACCTACATTACGGCAAGAGTTTAGCTGCTCCAACTGAACTGCAAGGCATGACGCTCGGAATATACAGGCTCTGATTTCTGTTATTTCTCGGACCCTCCAGCGTAATTTTAGGACAGAGACCACTTTTACCGTGACATCGTGTTGATAGACATTGGTAATAGGCTACTGAAAGGAGTTTACTTGTTGTTGAAAATGTTAATATGAAATATAGTAGTTTACAATAAGAGAATTAAAGAAAGTTTTAGCAGACGTAGAAATAGTGGCTTTCATATACAAGATATGCGACACTTTGCCATTATTCCGATGAGTCACAGATCGCTTCACCTTGTTTATCTTGGAATATTTATCACGTCAGAAAATGTTTCAAATTAAATTCGTTGACTTAAACGAGTTTTTAACAAGGTCTGCAGTTTATGAAATGACTATTTTTTTTTTTAATTATGAACCCATTTTCGATTAAACTAATTGTGAGTTACTACATGCAAAGGACTTGGATTCATGTCGACAAATAAATATTTCCACGTGAAGTAATTATAAAATGTAATTTAAATTGGATCAGTACCTTCAGAAATAAAACATACAGAGGAGCAGACAGACGGACTGACAAACATAACCACACTTTAGTTTGGTTGGTTGATAAACTTCGTAAACCTAGACAGACAGTGGTCTCGGGTTCGATTCCAGGCGGTACCCGAATTTATAACTTGTGTTGGGCAAGGCCGTGGTCTAGGCAACACGGAGTTTTCCTCCGTGGCATCCCAACAATTACTCCATTCACACACAGAAGAAGGCAATGGCAAACCACTTCCGGATCATCTGCCAAGAACGTATATGAACAGGGCCCAGTCCGAGAAAAGGAAAGGATGGAAGGATCCTGTTCATAAAGTGTCGCCAACCTCCTGTAAAGAGACGGCGTGATAAAGAAGGAGAAATAGGATAAAGCGCGGACAGGGTGTGATGTTGACCACTCACCCTCATCTAGTACCGAGGTTGAGAATGAGTAGGAGCTAAACCTCCACTCCCCTGATCGCCGACATGAGGCGTAACAGGATAGCTTTACCTTTTTTATATCAAATGTCGCAGTTGTAATTGATGCTGCTTAAGTCCTTTACGCACAAGCGACTTGAGGTGGGTATATATTTTTTTGAACAGCGCGTAAGCCATCGTTTCTTTTATGATTCGTAGTAGCAATTATTGTCAAGCTGCACTTAACAAATAGGAGTTTGTTTGTTAGTTCGTGAGTGTTGAGAACAATTGCATGTATAT